TAATACTGTATAAGTAGTATTGTGTAATTAACTTGAACCATTGTGTATTTAACTTGAATCACTGGGTATGTAACTCGAATTTTGCTACAAATAGGCTCTATTCTTAATTATGGGTCATCTGTAAACTGGGCATTCTTAACCCGGGGACTACCTCTACTCCAAAAGATGGTTGCACTGGCCAAATGCTAGTTGGTGCTGATGCCCAGTCCATCAGCATCCTGGCAACTTCCCATAGCTGCCTCCCAAAATAACCCACAAATGTCTGTTTCTCCAGGTAACAGACCATGTCAGACCTCACCAGTGTGGTTAACGCCCATCCAGAGGCTAATTCAAAAAATAGAGCAGGAACCCAATTTTCACTTCTGTTACCACATAATAGCAGGAATATAGGCGGTCCTCTTTAGCCACCACAATTTGGACTGGCAGCTCAACCATTAATCAAAGTGGTCACTAAGTGAAACCACAACTGTGCTTGTCATCTTACTTCAGCTCTCCTTTGCTTTACAGACCTGCGAACTTCATAAATGTAAGAAATGGTCATAAAGTTACTTTTTCAACACCGTCACAACTGTGAACAGTCGCTAAATGAGGACTACCTGTATTTATTCTGAAATAAGGGAATTTAATGAGTTTAGTCTGGTGAAAATGCATCCAGCTAGTATGCACGATATTTAGCTGCACAGAAAGCTTTTTCACCCTTTTATAGCACACAAGAACATCCCATGGTTTGGGGACAACAAAAATAATGTTTGTTATACTGTTCCTACAGCTTTTAATTGAAACACTTCAGGTCTAAGAAGCTCTATTTTTAGGCAGTTAAGATTTTTCTTTTCTCTTGTCCAGCAAGTGGAAAATGTTAGTTTAACAGCTTTCCCTAAAAAGTATGTTCACTTTAAAAAATGGCTGATATTTAAATCAGTTCAAATCTGTTTCTATTATAGTTGGCTGTTTTATTACCACTTCTGCTATGAAAATATGAAGCTGCCTTGTAAATTCTCTGTCTCATTTATAATTAACTACTATAGTAAAGGCTGAAGGAAGAGTATGGAGAAAGGCCCTGTGCTAGGACATAGAGTTGCCTTCAAGTGGGAGTTGCTTCAATGGCAGGATCTGGAAGCAGAATGCCCCACATGTAAGCTTTCCTTGCTTTTTACCTATTTCCAATCCCTAGTGCAGTGTTTCTTAAACTTTTTGCTCTTTGCACTTTTAAAAATTATGGAGGACCCCAAAAGAGCTTTTGTTTGTATCAGTTATATTTATCAATATTTACCATATTAAAAATTAATATTGACACATTATAGAATATTTATTGAATTGTGTAAAAATAACAATATTAAGCCCATTAGCTATTAACATAAATGAAATATTTTTCATGGAAAAACCCTGCATTTTTTTAACAAAAAAATAATAATGAGAAGAGTGACATTGTTTTAATTTTTTTGCAAGTATCTTCAACATCTGACAAATAATTTTGATTTCATGGACCCCTGAGAGGGATTGGGAGGACCCCCAGGGGTCCTTGGACCACACTTTAAGAAACACTGCCTTAGTACGAGTCCATTCTCCAAGTGCAGAACACTGCAGAGAACTGTACATGTCCATGATGCCTTGAAACCAGCGCTCTTGTGACATAGCACAATATCTTCGCTGGATAAAATTCGCAGTTCCTCACTGAAAAGTTATAACCTGGAACTGGACTGGAACCAGGTTTTTCCATTCCTGTTTCTCATTCAGCTTCATCCACCCACCTATACCCCTCGCTGGAGCAATTAATATTTTCCTTTTATCCTACAGGAAGTAAGTTAGGAGACTTGGTGAAGAGGTCATGAGAAAACCAGGAAAGAGGCTGGGGCTATTTAGTTTTCCTACCACTGTGAAGCTGCTGGGGTTTAGATGTTCCAGCAGATCTTTGGGAATAATGAGATTTCACCCATTCTTCAGTGAGGGTTCCCCCCCCCCTTTTCTTTTTTCCTGGTATTTTTGGATTTTTGCCCCTTAGCCCAGTACTTGGCAACTACTATTTTCTGTTATGTTTATTGTTTGAATCTTTTTTTTTAATTGTAATTGGGAAAGTGGTAGAGTCAGAAGCTGCCTATAAACTTGCGTAAAATAAAAATTTATGGAGTTTTGGCAGTCACCAACAACTGAACAATAAATGTGAAAATTGAAATATGGATTTCTAGTCGAAATATAGCTTGCATTTGCTACTTCCATTAGCATTATTCACTGAATACTCATCCCCTAGTTTTTGAGCCTATATTTATTTATACATAAACAGTTCCAATGTTTTGAATTATCCCTTTCACACATACAAGAAATCATTTGCCAGTTTGCATTCCCCAAATTAAATTGGAAAGGCTATTGTTTTCTGATACTGTACTATAAATATACAAGATATTTAGCGTAAGGAATTTGTCATCCAATACCTTTGCCGTGAACAATTTAGTATTTCTAAATATAATTTCTAATAATCTAAATCCTAAACCACATTTGCTGAAACAAACCCACTATAAAAGATTAATTCTGTATCTTTTAAAATTTCTGTTGTGAAATAATAATTTAAGGGTATTTCTACCTCTGTGGCCAAAAGAAAAGAAACAATGTTCATGCTGTGACTTGTTTAAAATGAGCTGACAGGCTTTATCCTTGTGTGATATGCTGTAGTTCCTTGCTGTTCACAGCTTAGATTTGTCCGTAATTACTGCTGCGGTGTTTTTTGTTCTGTTTTTTAAGTTGGTACGTTGGGCCAGTCATATAACTTTTTATTGACGGCTACTTCATTTTTAAGCAGTGGGAGCTAAAATGAAAGAAGGAAATGTGTGATTTGTTCAAATGAGTGTCTCATTCAAATTTTTCTCTTCCCACATTTAAAGCGCTCTCAAACTCCGTTGGTTCCAAAAACCTCAGATCGTAAGCCTGGATGTGAAACCTGGATCTGCTATCTGGCCTTGTTTACTTACTGATGCATTTGTAAAAGTGAAACTGAAAACTATCTGGCTAAATGATCTGATTTATAAAGAAAGATACTGTTTAATACACATGGACTATTAATTATTACAACAATTATAAATACTGAAAGATGTGAAATATCAGTAAAAAGTATCAGTACGAAACATGGCTAATCAGCAATGCTGGGAATGCCTGTTTCCTATTAACTTAATTTTATTCTGAAACATCTCAACCTAAAACATGAGCAAGAAATAGAGAAAGATACCGCATAATCTGTTTTAATGATAAATATTAGTCTTCTTAACAAAAATGTATAGAATCATATTTTAACAGCATCAAAAGTAATAGTGAAGAAGTACATTAAATTTTGAGGCTCTTATTTGCCATTCGTTAAATCACCATGCTCCCATCTAAGAAAGTACCATATTCAGATTACAGCTGAATGTAATGCAGTATCATAATTTTAGTCAGGAAACGAACAACTATTCAAGTAGCTCTGTGTGACAAAAGAGACTTTGGACTTTTTTTGTTTTTTGAACTGCAGTGAAACTCCTATTCATCATCTTCATTCGCATGGGGGATCATTTCTTAAACTCTAGTATGAAAATCATTAAAGTGGTTTGTGATATAATATGTATGTGTAGTATATAAATAAAAGGATACCAAAACAAACAATCTCAGTAGGCTAAAGGAAGATTGGGGATTTAGCTTATATGATTTTGACGTAGAAACAAGATATAACTAAACAAATGGCACTTTATAATATATTCCATCAAAATATAGGTATAAAATGGGGAAGAGTAGAAAAATTAACCAAAAATGCAGTTTTGTTCATAGAAGATTCAGAGTAATCTGATATAGATAGACAGACAGACAGATAGATAGATATGTATGTATGTGTGTGTATGTGTGTGTGTGTATATATATATACACACACACACACACATACACACACATACATACATATCTATCTATCTGTCTGTCTGTCTATCTATATC